AAAAAAAAAAAAAATGGCTGACTGTGATGATTAGCACATGTATTCATAAGTACTCTGGAGTTAAGAGATCATTTGAGCCCCAGAGTTTGAAGTTTCAATGAGCTATGATTGTGCCACTGCACTACTCTGTAGCCCCAGCAACAGCTAGACCTTGTCCAAGGAAGAAAGATGGAAGGAAGGAAGGAATGAAGGAAGGAACAAAGGAAGGAAGGAAGGAAATAAACACACACATACATGCATGACCTTGTTATTTACAAAAGAAACTAAAATTGCTTCAGGAATTTAGAAAGGTAAAGTGAATGGTTGAGGATTGGAGGTGGCAAGGAGACCTCACCACATGTATATACTAGATTCCATTCTTTGAAATGTTGGTTTGTTTGTTTTGTTTTTGTTTTAGAGTGCTATGGTGTCATAGCTCACAGCAACCTCAGATTCCTGGGCTCAGTCAATTCTCTTGCTTCAGCCTCTCAAGTAGCTGGGACTAGAGGTGCCTGCCACATCGCTGGCTATTTTTACAGTCTTGCTCTAGCTCTGGCTGGTCTCCAACTCATGAGCTCAGGCAATCCACCCCCCTTGGCCTCCCAGAGTGCTGGGATTACAGGTCCTCATTCTTTGAAATTTTAAAGGTGAACATATTGCCTGTACAAACAAGGAACACAATAAAAAGACTATTTAACTGTCATTTAAACTGTTTTGTTGATTTGCAAACATTCATTCATCATGAACATAGCACAATTCAACAATGTAAGTTTTTAAAAGTCAGTACTACACATATGTGATGAAGAAGAGAAGGTAAATTGGTGTAATAAGAAATTAAAATAATTCAAGTAATACACTAAACATAAATGGGCAAAATTAAACATATGATATTGAAACACACATTTTATAAAATTAGAATAATATGTAGAATAAGTGTTAGGTCAAACTATATCTCAAATTTTTTATTATAGCATTTATTAAGATTGACTAGCAAAGTATGGACTTGTAAGCATTTGGTTTTGGAAATACACTATAATAAGAAGATGGATCCATTATTTCAACCAGAAAAATCTTCCTCCCAAGATAGAAAGTAATCAACATAAATCACAGATTTTGATCTACAGGACTACATGCTCCAAAACAAAAAGTACATACTAAACAAATATAATTCTAAATACTTAATTTGGACAAATACAACACAACATTGAAAAATTATATATCCCTATTTAACAAATGGTGCTGGGCAAACTGGCTGGCAACCTGTAGAAGACTGAAACTGGGCCCACACCTTTCACCATT